TCTCTTGCCTCGGCCAGGAGGAGCCTCATGTGAAAGCAAGACGAAGGGCCCTGCTTTGCCGACGTTCTTGCGCCTGCTAAAGCATCCTATAGGCTCCATTAGACTGAATGCATATTAAAAATGATGTCAGAGGGAAAGGCAGAGATGAAAGCTAGTCCCAGAGAGGAGGCATTTATGAGAAGCTCACGGCTTAAAGGCGAATTCCAATGCACAAAACCTCGATGGGGCATCTAACTGCGACTGAGGCTTCCAACTTCTCCCGAGCTCTGGCCTCCGAGGTCCTGTCATGGCCTCATTCCTTCTGGTTCTTTCTCCCCTTTATTCAGACTGGATGAGAGATTTTGCCTTTTGAATTAGTATGCAATGGGCTTGACAGACGAATTGCAAATAATACCTGAAGGTGCCGGAAGTACGAAAAGAGCGTTTTATTGGCTTTTCGTTATTTAACACCAACAATATTATTTTTGGCATTCAAGCCCAGAGGCAGAGAAGAAAAAAACTCAAGAGGAACAGGAAATCATGAGGTAAAATATTTATAAGAGAGGCCTGGCCTGCAGGAAGCTGTTCAGTCTCCTTCCCTCCCCTTCTGTTACCAAAGTTCAGTCTTTCGAGGGCAGAGCAGTATTGAGATGATGGTGATCTTTTCTCTGAAAAGTCATACGTGACCCTGGTTTTTCCTTACACAAGTGTCTTAGTTACATTTCTCTCATTGCCAAGACAAAATGCCAACACCAGAAGCCAAAGGGAGGAAAGGCTTAATGAGCTCAGTTTGTAGCGGTCACAGCCCACGGTCAGTGGCTCCGAGGCAGGATGGCCATGGCACCGGGCACTAGTTCCAGGCAGCAGAAGACAGCTACAGCTCCGGGGCAGAGCAAGACAAGCCTCTCTCTGTTCCTTATATTGTGTCAGGTCTACTGAGATTAGGGTGGTGCCAAGCCAGCCAGTGGACCGATCCAGCCATCACCGAGCCTTAAGCCGAGCACCCTTAGCCATGCACGGTCTTGCTACAAGTCAGTTACACACTCTAGATTCAAATACCTCCGGCAAAACCCTAAGAACACACGAGGCTTCCGGGGGGGACCAAACCATATCAACGAAGAGGATATTGTCATTGCTATCAGCATTGATTTTGCAACAGTTGTTCATAGATAAGTCGCTGGAGGTTTCAGCTGCCAGAGATGCCTCTGAGAGGACCCCCATGCCATCCAGCTGGTAACGTCTTCCACACTGTGCCATTTCTCACCCCGTCAGAATGCTCACACACCGCCCATGTATCCCTCATTAGACTGCTTCTGCTCCAGGCTCCAACCAGTTGGCACAAGCATCCCAGGGTCCACCGCACTCTTCAATTCCAGGAAAATGCACAGTGACGTCCCAGCAGGTGGCACACGGGCCATCCTAGGAGAGCTGTGGTGGTCTCACTTGGCTCTTTGCTGAGCTTCCCCATGGCAACCATGGGCAGCACACTGAGGATCTCAGAGCAGCGACTGCACTGGGAGTCGGAAAAGCCACATTCTCTCTTTTGAACATGTTATTTGTGATGGCAATTGTCACCTTAACCAGAATAATGTACTTGTAAACCTATTTCGTTTTAGTCCTGATGACTCAGAAAAATTGCTACAACTCTCCTAAGAAAGGTCTTGCCCGGAAGAGATGGAATGACAGAATTACCATCTTTTGTCTATGCTGACAATAATTAACCTCAATTAACACCCCTTCATGGTGCCAAGGATCAAACCCGGGGCCTTGGACAGGGTAAGCACGCGCTCTAGCTCCCAGCCACACCACACAGCTCACTTCTAAGGTCCTATAAACCTTCGGGCTTTTGCTGAAATGCAAGTTTCTCATCCCGGTGCTGCTCTCCATTTTTCCTTCCTGATTGCTGACTGTTTTGCCTATGGTGATTTAGGCCAGAGCTGTCCAATACACCTTCTATAGTAACGGAAGTATCCAATGTCTGTGACATCTGGAACAGAGGCCGCTAGCTCCATGTGGTCACTAGGCACAGCTTCGATACTTGGGCGGGGTGTGCAGCCCAGGGAGCTAGGCGCCATCCAGGGCCACACTGGCATGAAGTGTCTCTTTCTCAGAATGGCTCGTTGTCTCATGGTTAGATTTCTTTCATGAAGCATGCTTTCAGAAAGGAACACCTACCTGTGCATCTACTGACTCTGAGCATGGAACGGAGTAGACATCACCCTTGCTGGTCTTGCAGAGAACAAATGTCAGACATTTAGCCTCGCTAACTAGCAGACCTAGAGGATTAGGGCTCCAAGCTGAATCAAACAGAACAAACTGTCCATTCTTACTACTGTCTGCTGAAGTGGCCCAGAAATATCTTAACATCATGTTCTACTTATGTTCTTTTTCACTTATTGAAGAGCAGCAAAAGCAGGTGCCGGGGTAGAGTACCAAAATGCATTCCAAACAGTTGAAGCTGTCAGTGGCCTAAAAGGCAGATGATTAACCCTGTCAGTGCAGGGCAGTAGCGGCCAGAGAGTTCTGCTTATTTGTGGTGTACTGAGTCATAGGTCAGGACACCTGGGCTCAACCTGAGAGCTTCACTTACTACCTACGTCCTCAGGTAAATGGCTGAAGCTGTTTTCACCTTATCTTCAAGATGGAGATAATAATAACTGGGTTTCGTTTTACTGTGGTTGATAACGTTACATAAAAAGTCAGTGTAAACACTTGGCAGCACTCTCTGGCTCGTAGTAACTGCGTGTTAAGTATGGTGCTCACTGGACTGCTATTATTGTTGATATGATCATTAGGACTGAAAAATGGAGTCTTGTGAATTGTCCCTGTCTTCATTTTGCAGATTAAGGAGCTGAGGCTCTGAGCAGCCAAAGGGGGTCAGCCCGGGCCTGAACTTTGAGACAGGAAGAGTGAGCTGCTCTCTCGAGAGGAGTCTAACCTTTTCCCCAGCCCCAGGCTCCACACTCCCTCTGAGCCTCAGGCACTTGTATGAAAATGCAGGACTGACTGGGAGCCACTCTCAGGGCTGCTAATCTTACCATGTTCTTGTGTTACTTGAGAAATTTTCTGAACTATGGTCTTTTGTTCTGCAATTATGCATATTCAAGATCAACTTAAACATTAAAAGAAAACTGTACTCCCCACCCCAGCACTTGTTCTATGTTAGATTCTAGGGTGGGAGAAAGTGCTACCAAGTTCACCTTCCTGAGTCCACCACCCATCAGTCTGCCTGTCCATCCCTCATTGCTTCTCTCTGTTTGTCCTCCCATCCTTCCATCAGTCCATCCATCTAACCATCGGTATCACAAGTATTTATTAAGTACCTGCTGGATGCTAGCACTGTCCCAAGAGTACTTTTCTTCACTATTATGCTTCCAATTAGACTGCATAGTCATGCCTTGGCATTTGATGGTGGAGACTGTTCTGGGATCTGCTCAGACACCCCAATCCTCAGATGTCCAAGTCCCTTGTGTAACATGGCATACTCTTTGTGTCTAGACTACACAACCTTTTAGGACACTTTAACCTCTAGATCACTTATTCTGCCTGGTACAATGTGAATGCTACGTAAGGGGTGTCATAAAAATATGAGAGATGTGGGGCTGGGGAGATGCCTAAGTAGAATAAGTGCTTCCCTAGCAAGCGTAAGGGTCTAAGTTCAATCCCTGGTTCAGAGAGAGAGAGAAAGAGAGAGAGAGAGAGAGAGAGAGAGAGAGAGAGAGAGAGGAGAGAAGAGAGATTTAAAATTTTTTAAATTAATTACATTAAAAGACACGTTGCAGGGCCGGCCAAGTAGCTCAGTGGATTAAAGCTCCTGCAAGCAGGCACAGGGGCTGGGGTTTCAATCCCTAGGCCTGCTGTGCCAGCTCCGCCCCAAGGGCTTGCTGAGAGGACAGTTAAGACTGGGCACGGTGGCACGTGCCTGTAATCCCAGATCTTGGGAAGCTGTAAACAGGGGGATCACTATGAGTCCGATCTAGTAGTGAAACTCTGAACACCCTGTAGACCCTTCCCTAAAATACAAAAAAAAAAAAAAAAAAAAAAAAAAAGACACATTGCTATTACTCCCCCCTGAAAATACTCCTCATGTCAAATACACTTATCTCATGGCTCTTGCCACTTTCTAAAGTAGTTCTGGAAGTCCTTTTTCTGAGCATTTTAAATTCTGGCTGTCTTGATTACCTGAATCAATTCAAAACATTGCCATTCCTGATCATTGGGACTTGGGGGGGGACCAGAAGTTGCACAGTGCCAGGTCCTGTGAATAAATAGGTGGAGGAGAGCTCGGCGCGTTTTTACCACCGTGCCTTGCCTTTAGATGGTGCTTTCTACAACATTGACCATGTTTGTTTTAAAACTCACACCTGTAAAGACATTCATGAAAGAGGACTTCAGAGCTGCTTTGGGAAGTGCCAAGAACGATGGGATAAGTATGCTGGAAGGGAAGAGATTGGGGGCCGGTATTGAGCAACACAACTTTTCCTGTAATTTGTTCTTTAAGCATTCATTTTATGCTTTGATCATACCTCATAAATACTAGTTATGCTGTATAGTTTAAAGAATGATGACAAGAAAGCGTCTCTACGGTACAGTTGCGTATTTTCCACTCCTGCTGAATTCATGGATGAATGCAGATAAAAAAAGACCACCGCAATCTCAATTCAAGATAGGAAGCTGCATGCAGAGGATGGGGGGGTGGTGCACGCTGGTGAGGGAAGTCAGAGATGGGGTTACTTCTGGCGGGAGCTGCTGGTGGAGATCCTGGGCTGGTCAGTCAGGGGGACCCACATGCACCAGTGAAAGGAGGCACTGTGCTCTGCTCTGCAGCAGATGCCCCTTTTATACCAAACCCTTTTCCTGACTCCAGTAACTAAGCGTTGTGGTTGGCACACGCCAAGGAGCCAGTTTACTTTTGCTGTGTTTTTTCCGGGCGCAGGGACTAGGACCAGGCCACGTGCGTGGTGCTCCAGAGCGGAGCTACACCTCCAGCCCTGGGAGTCCGCTTTGCTTTAGTTTTGTTTCACAAACAAAGCCACCAGAGCAGGCGAGAAAGTCTAAAGGCCAGCAGGAGTCACCCAAAGCGCCTGGGAAACGGGATTTTCAGGGAAGTAGCTACATTCAGAGACCAGAGGAGAGGGCTCTGCTCCGGGAAAAGGCGACGTGCGCGTGCAGCCGCGGCGGGGGCCCGGGCTCTCGGCGCAGGAAGTACACGCCCGCCAGGTCGGGATGGATGCCCCTGGGCGCGCGGCCCCGCCGCTCGGCCGTCCAATCGGAGCGCGGCCCAAGGCCAAGGCTTAGCTATATTTAAATCACCGTGCGGGTCGGGAAAGGCACCTGGCCACGCGTTCCGTTCGGCGGCGGCGGCGGCGGCGGCGGGTGAGTGCGTCAGTGGGTCACCTCCATCCCGGACGGCCCCACCTTTGAGCTTGGTCGGGGACTGAGGAGGCCGCAACAGGTCTCCGCCGGCTGCCTGGATTCTGCTCGCCTCCCGCAGCGTCCCAGCTCCAGCAGCTCCGCGGTCCGTTCCAGTCTGGCGGCGGGCTCTCGAGAAGCTGTCCCGGGTTCTCCAGAGCCGGTTTTCAAATAATCCGGGGGCCGGTCCCAGGCGATCCGGGTCCAATAAGGAGAGGTGCGGGCGGTGGCCGCGACGACAGCCGGCGCGCGGTTAGCTGTGTCCGCGTCCTGGAGCCGGAGAGGTCCGCGGACCGGGCGGGGGCTGCGCGCACCTCTCCAGACGCCAAGAACAGGCCAGGGACGGAGAAGTTCGCTCCGCGCCCTACGGGAGCCCGCGGCAGGTGGCCGAGCCCGGATTGAGCCCCCGGGGCCGCAGGGAGAGGGCGGTGGCCAGGTTGCCCGGCTAACGGGAGGTTGGGGCAGTCGCGTAGGGCGTGCAAACTTTTCCCGCTGCGTGGTGGCCCGCGCCGAAGCTTCTGGGGCAGACTTCCGCGCCTCGGAGCGAAGTCGCGGAGGGGTCGCCGAATTCCGGGCGCGAGCGGCGACCAAGGAGAGGCTCTCCCGGGGCGCAGTGGGAGGGGTGGAGGATAGGGGCCGAGGGCCCCGGGCTGAGTACGCGAAGAGCCAACCTTGCGGTTTGCTAGGTGGAACACGCAATGTCACTGACCTAGCCGGAGCGGGGTCGGGAAGCCCAAGGGGAGACTCCCGCGGTGGCGGGAGAGCGCACGCCACCTCTGCCTCCCTCCGGTCGCCCAGCTCGGTGAGGTGCGCCTTATCCGGGATGGAGAGCCGGGTTTCCTCAGGCGCCCTGGGCGCGTACGCGCCGACTGGACAACAAAGAGGAACGTGGGCAGAGGGCTTCGCGGCTCTTCCCGGAAGAGCTGGGGCTCGGGATCAGTTTCTCCTAGAGCTGGTCGGAGTGGCGAGGAGGGGAGCAGAGCTCCAGGTCCCCGTTTCTCCGGCCTCAGTTCCCCAGCTGGTGCCCTTCCCGGGCAGCAGAAGAGAGACACGGCCAGGTTGCTGCGGCAACTCCCTCCAACGAACGGGCGGCGGAGGATTCCCTGGCCGCCGGCTTCCCGCGCCCGCCTGTTCTTTTGTGTCCCGTAGCTCTGGACAGGCTCCTGCCTAGGAAGGAGACGGGCAGGAGGGGCCGAGTTTGCGCCGGACTGGGGAAAGCGCGTAAGCAGGAGCCCCAAGTTCCCTGCAACTACGGGCTGTCCCGGGAGCCCGAGGGGGGACCTTTTTCCTGCGCCGCCGGCTGGAGAAAGGTTCTCCGCTCATCAGTGAGAGTCCGGCTGCCTACCATTGTCAAGCAAGCGCACGACTGGGGTTCTTAAGAAGAAGGTCCTTTCCACTGCCCCACCGAGACACTCACTGGGGCTCCGTGGCAATGAGTGGGGTTGAAACATATGATTTTTTTTTTCCATCTAAGGTTTGGATATTGGCGGAGTCATATAATTTAACTTGGTGACGCTGCTAAATTGACCTCACACTTTGGTGAGTTTACCCATTCAGGCCCCCGCCCCAGGAGCCGTCTTCTCTGTCCTGCTGAGCGAGCCTGGGGCATGGGCATGGTGGAGTAGGGACAGCCAAGCCTCTCAGCTGCCTCACTGAGCAGATGATCAAAGCAGAGATTGCAAAATGGGAGAAGCTGTCATTGTCACAGGTTCTTGAGTGGGACTGGAGACCCTGTCCCTCTCAGAAGCTTGGGCTGCGGTCTGCTTAGCAGTTCTCCTAATCTTAGTTTTATTTGCCTTAACATGGCATGCTTTTCTTACGGATTTCCTTGTGAGGCCCATGCTGGACCAACATGTCTGTGTTGTAGCATAGTGGAGAAAACTAGTACAAAAAAGGTCAGGGTGAAAAGAACAAAACCTTAAGCTAGGAATTGTGGTGTTGGAATTGTTTAAAATGTGAAGGAAATGAGTTTCTAACATGTGACCTTTGGGATTTAAGGGTCAACATGCTTTGTTAGAGACTGCGTAAAGGGATCTCTGGGTGACTGTAGCACTTCCTAGAAGGATGGTTACTGGGTGGCTTTGGGAAGTGGCAGGAAGTCTGGCTACCGGGGATCAAAAACCTGGGACCAAGGGCCGGCCAGATAGCTCAGCGGATCAAAGCGCTTGCCTAGGCAGATGCACTGGACCAGGGGTCCATCTGGTGTGCAGTGCCAGCCCTGCCCCCCGGGCCTGCTAAGAGGGGGATTGATTCTGGACGTGGTGGCCCAGGCCTGTAATCCCAGCATTTGGGAGGCTGAAAACAGGAGGATCGCTGGGAGTCCAATCTGTGTCGTGAGACCCTGTAGACCCTGTACAAAAAAATCCAAAAAACAAAAAAACACACCTGGGACCCATGAGAGCCGCCTGGTTGGCATGCAGATGTGACTGCTAGTGTAGAAGCTGTGGCCACTGGCATTGCCAGAGTGACTCAGAAATGGATCAGTGGGTGCTTCAGGTGCAGGTGCAAGAGAAAGCCTCTGATTGGCTGAGATGGGTTGCCCCCTAGGACTCACAAGGGCGCCTGACTGGCCTCACAATGAGGGGCAGGGCCGCCTTCTGGAGAACTCACAAAGGTGTCTCTGAAGTAGAAAGGCTGTTCCTCCCCAGGACATCGTGGGTGACAAACATGTACTACGGGATCCTTTGAAAAAGGAAAGATGCTGAGAATTTCCATCGAAAAGAAAAGAACATGAAACATCTCGCTCACCCTACTTTTAAACCAGTGTTTGCTGAAATGCGGTTCTGTGGGATCCAGGCTCAGGGTCACGTGAGGTATCTGTTTAAAACTGACCTCCTTGGTCTCCTTTTTTCCCTTGAATTCAGTGCAGCTGGAGTGAAAACCAGGAATCTGCACCTTAAAAAACAGGAAAAATAGTAAGATGGGCTTATGGAGTAGGACCTGTTTAAGGCATTTGCCACTGAGAGAGCAATTTCTAAAATTTTGAAAGGCACGGTCTCAGGGGAAGGTGACTCCCCACATTGGTAGACCAATTGTTCTGCCGTGGGTGAACCCAGAGAGCAGTGGTGTGCTGCTGGGGTCAGGGGAGGCAGTCACCACAGCCCTGTAGGCTGGACAGGCCCCACCCATCCTTCTAGTGGCTGTGAGATGGCTACCAGGCAGATGCTTGCTTCCTTTCTGAAATAAAATGGTTAGGTTTGTTGGTCCTCCCACCCTACTTTATTTTCACACTCTTGTGTAGCTACTGTGTGTCAGGTCCTGAGGTTTGCGGGTGGGTGAAAAAGTTAGGGTCACCCCCTAGCTGCTGACACAGACTGGGTCAAGACAACACAGTGCGGGCTTTTCGGGAGCTTTGGACCCCACCTCCATTGCCTTACTCAGGTGTGTCTTGGAAGCCTAAATGAAGTATCCTTGCAAAGAGACCTGAATTGGCCAGCGGGTTTTCCATCCTGCGTGGCAGTCCTCAAACTTCAGCTGTCTTCTGGGTTACTCACCCAGGGAGCTTTCAGCTTGAAGTACGGGCGAAGGGCCCCCCATCCCAGAATTAGTTTTGGGCATCTGCATTTCAAGCAGGCACTTTCCTTTATGCTGACATAAATGCTGGTCCTGAAAATTTCCCGAGTTTAGTGTTGGGAGCTCCATCAGCTACCCTCAGGGGCCCCTGGGACCCAGCGAGGCTGCGATGGGTGAGGTGAAGCATCCGCTCACTTGGATTTGGGATCCATCTGGGGGATTAGCAGGGCAGACTTCTGGGCAACTGGGCAAGTCTGGACGAGTCACAGAGGCCTAGTGCTGTAGACAGCTGGTCCCTCGTCCCTTACTTCCTGGTCACCATGAGTGAGGCACCTTCGCTCCATGACAACTTTCCACCACAGTGCTTCTGCACTGGAGCCCACCAACTGTGGACTGGGTGCCCTGAGACTGTGAGCCAAATTAAAGCTCTCCTCCTGTGAGCTGTGGGCATCAGGCACTGTGTCCAAGCAGTGGAAAAGCCAGTTCTGCAGGGCTTTCACAGGCAAGTACCCGGGCCTTCCTTTTGGGTATAGCCGTGAAAACCAAAATGATCAACTCCTCTACTTTGAGTTGGCTTTTCTCAGTTGTCTGGTCTGTTTCCTAATTGGTGAGATTTTTAATAATTGTCTTGACATTTACTCTAAAATGTAAGAGACACCTACACTTTAGGGGAGAATATAAAGGAATCTGGACTCAGAACTCCAGTTGCCTTCTGAGGCAGTGGGTGGCACCCTGCGTGGTTGCAGTGGTCAGTGGCAGTGTCCAGCTCATCCAGGACTTCCTACCTGCATCTTCCCCAAGTGTGTGGGTTTATTCATAGCTCCCCTGGGACGAGTCTGAGCCTTTAATCCTTGCAACAGCTGTGGTTGAGGCTTAACTCCCCACCTGTCCTTCAGGAACAGCTAGCTCAGGTGTGAGTGTGGCGTGCGTGCATGCGGGACATTCCAAAGGGGCCCTTTGGGGCCTGTCATCCGGGCTGTGGTGCACATGGGATGTGCTGCCTGGCCTGAAGCATTGGGTGAACAGGCTTGGTCCTGGGGGTCACTTGGAGATCTGAGCAGCCCATGACTTTGCTAAAGAGAGACTTTAGGGTCATTGTGTTGGTGGCCGTCTGCAGAGGTGACTGGGGAGGGACAGGATCTTAGGGGCTGTGGTGTAGCTCAGAGGCAGAGCACGTGTGTGACCTGAGAGAGGCCCTGAGTTCCATCACTACTAACACGCGCGCGCGTGTGCGCACACACACATGTACACCTATGGTAAGTAAAAGACTAGCTACTAAGGGATTAGATACGGATAATATCTTTACTCAAAGAACTCAGGAAATTATATTTCGTACTTGGAGTTTTCTTCGACTTGGAATCTAGGTAACGGATCCTTTGGCCCCTTGTAAAATGCGTCACTTTTTGCCTCCCACCCCCTTCCCTCCATGTGTTAGGAGTACCCTTTCCTTATCTTGAAAGCTAGGTATGTGTCGATTAGGAAATGCATCCACGTGTTCCAGAATACTGGAACAAAGATAGAAGAGCCTGCTCCCCTGATCTCTGCGGCTCTGTGCCCAAAGGTCACCCTCATAGAATGACAGAGGAAACCTGTCATTTTGTTCTGTTTATTTCTCACAGTCAACAGGCGCTTGCTTACTGAATACAGACCCTGACCGCAGGCTCTGTCATCTGTCAGGCGCCAGGAGCCACACAGTCTGTGCTGTTCCTCAGATGCTGCTGTTAGGATTTCTGCCTCTTGCTCCCTTTCCCAGGTGGGGGGTGGTGGTGACAACGTTGGACAAACACATCCTTCAGGATGCTTTTGTGACGATGAGAAAGACAGATTCTGTTGTCACGTGTGTTAAACACTTTGGCCCCGACCTTGATGCCCTTCTGGTTTGAAGGGAGAGTGTTTGATGTGAGGTCAGGATGCAAGTAAGTAGAGTATAAGGTAGAGTAAGAGGTCTCCAGACTGAGGCGAACCACAGAAACTTGGAGAAAAAATAAGCATGTGGGCCATTGTTAGGGGCCCCTGGAGTCCTGCCTGGTCCCTCAATGGGCGACTGTAGGGACAGTATTTGGGATCATGCTTAGGACTTGTGTCCTGGGTTGAAATCTTGAGTCACCAATAATCTGTGACTTTGGACAAATTTGTGCATTCATTCACTGGTCTGTAAGTGGGGCGACACCTTAGGAGCATGACGGTGCCTGGGACACACACAGTACGTGCTCCCTAAACATTCATTTCCAAGACTGCATGGCCCTCTGTCACTGGCTGGTGTTTCTCAAATTCTGCCAGAGGTCTGGGTCTTCATCTGATCTCCAGGCAGGACTTTCTCTGCATCCGGCTTGCATGCCGGCCCCTCCCCTGCAGGCTGTGTATGTCTACACCCGGATTAGGCAGGAAGCCTTCCGCTAAAGCTGTGCCATCTTCCCGGCAGTCCAGGAGCAAGTAGGTCACTTGACTTAGTGACGCCTCTGTCCTTTCTCTCCTGCCAGGGACAGCGTCTGGAGTGAATGAGCCCCTTGGAGAATGTTCTCCTACATCCCTTGAAGAAAGCTGTCCCCATCCGGAGGCACAGAACACTGCAGATCCTGGCCCAGGGGTGTTTGCTGCACGGGAAGGTGCCGTCTTCCTTGAAGCTATCAGAAGCTACCTCATGCTTGGGAGATTCCACTAGCCATGGCCCTCGCAGGCAGCATCCTGCTGCTGCTGCTGCTGCTGCTGCTGCTGCTGCTGGCTCAAGGCGGGAACGCCATCCCAGGAGAACAGCCTGCGCCCACAGATAGCCCGGGGCATCTGCATTATGAACTGCCTCCCATGACATACAAGACCCCGGACTCCTACACAGCCGGACCCATGGCGGTTCTCTTCCAAATGGTGCACGTGTTTGTCCACATGGTCCAGCCGCACAGCTTCCCTGAAGGTACGTGTGAGCTGCAGGGACAGACAGGAGCCTCACCACACACCCACAGGCCATTTCTTAATGACAGTGTCACCCACATAGAATATATCTGAGATCTCACAGGACAGGCTTCAAAATATGATTGATTTGCACGGTGATGGAGAATATTTAGGCAGAAGTTGAGACGAGTCCCAGGTTAACTCATACAGCAGCGATGTGATTCTGAGAAAAGGAATCCAATGGTGGCTCTCTGTGGGTTTTCTCTGTGGGTTTATCTTTGCTTTGTTTTGTTTGGGTTAAGTGAATGGATTGTTCTAACCCACAGACCGAAGAAAGGGTGAAACTGCGAGTTTTCTGGGGTGGAATGAAACGTGAACAACTGCCCAGCGCCTGTTGGCTAAGCTGGTGCTTCCAAGTTTAACTTCCCTGGTCATTCCCCTACTAGGTGCAGTTTTGACGCTGGGTATGGTAGTGACGGCGGGCCCATCTAACCATTTACCTGGTTAACTGCTTTAGTTCTGAGCGTTTGGGCGCAGGAATGTAGGGCTGGCCGCTTCCTGGAATCTGACTGCGCAGGGTGGCTATTGTTTCTACACGGTGCTGTTTCCTGCTTTGGCCTTCTTACCCTTCATTTCCTAATCCATGGAACTCAGAAGGCCTCTCTCTGGGTGTGCGATCCCAGGAACAGGACTGTGGAAAGGAAAACATTCTGCGGAAAGTGTCTGCTACTGGGGGTTGGCAGACGGTGTCTGTTTGGTTCAATATTAGATCTAGTCTAAGCTTGTCTTTTTAAATTTAATTTTTATTTGCAGTACTACATGTGTGCAGTGTGCACTGACTGCACCCACGCCAGGCCTTGGTGACACAAGCGTGACACATCTTAAGGCTTTCCTTGTCCCTCGCCCCGCCAGTCCTCCATGCACCTTCCATCTCTTGGTGCCCACCCATTCACAAGAGCTCTGTCTCCACCTTTTTTTAAGTCATTTTTTTTTCATTCCCTTTCGCTTCCCTCCCTTTCCTCTTCCTCCAGCTCTTCTTCCTCTTTCCATTTGCAAAAGATCTACTTTCTGTTATCTTTTACCTTGCTCTTCTTTTTTTCTTTTCCCGTATTTGGTACTGGGTCTCACTGCACAGCCTGGGCTTGTAGTGATCCTCCTGTTTTAGCCTCCCCAGCACTGGGATTACAGGTGTGGGCCACCACGCCTACTTTGTTCTTTATTCATACATTGTTTTGGGTTTTTCCTGAGAGAATCATAAAATATTTATGCTTCTGTGTCTGACTTATTTCAGTTAACATTATGGTCTCAGGGGGCATCTATTTACTTAAGAATGACTCAGAAGTGCATCACTCTTTGTGGCAGAGCGTACCCGCCCACCCCTGCTGGCTGCAGCATGACTCATCATAGCTAAGTCTGGGCAGCAGCCTCCATGCCCACCAGCAGGTCCGCGCATGGGCTTAGCGTTAAACTACAGAGATCTGCGTGCATTTATCAATTATAAAATGTACAGCAGCATTTTTGTTATCGTTTTCTTTATGTAGTCAACTATTTGTAAGAAGAAGGAGGGAGAGGGAGAGGAAGAGGGAGGGAGAGGGAGAGAGAAAGAGAGAGAGAAAGAGGAGAGAGAAGGGAGAAGGGGGAGAGAGAGAGAGAGAGAGAGAGAGAGAGAGAGAGAGAGAGAGAGAGAGTGTATTCAGTAAGCCTTAAGCCTTATTACTTGTTTACGTGTTAAGGGGAGTTTATAGGGTTTCACTTAAATGCATTTTATTGAATTTTTATTTTTATTTGTCTTAGATCATTCATAACCATTGAAATACAGTTAGCAATTTTTGTTAGTTTAAATGTCAATTCAGAGAAGTTAGTCTGAGCCCTTATTGTCGTTGGCAAGTATCCTAAACTAATAATGCTGCCTGTTCTTTATGTTACTATGCAAAAGACTAAATTCTGAAATCCAAAAGACCAAAATTAAAATCATCCTCTGAGTTTATTAACACTGACTACACATTCACTGTCCTCAATAGCTATCTCTTAGTTTATTTCTGAGTATATTTTCTTAATATGAGTACTGTTGAGCAAACAGTAGTCTTTCTAGATGTTGCTTCTCCTTTATTTAGATATAGACAAAGCAAAGAATCAGTTTCTTGATATGAATTTACAGTGGCTTCTTCAGTAAGGTTGGGAACCTTCGTTGTCTAAGTCTAAGGCATCTAATGCGTTAGTTAATTCCATAATCCCTTTCCATATGTTGTTCTATTTTGACCCCGCTAGATTTCATGGTAAGGCTTTCTCATACTTTACAAGGGGAGTATTGAAAGTTTTCATTCAAATGCCAAGTGAGAAGATATCCTTTGGCTTTATGCAAAATTTGGATTCTAAGGTTTGGAACTACGACACTGATAGTCTAGAAGGAAATGTCTGAAGAATTTAAATCCCAGCCTGACCTGAGGGTGTCAGCCTGGTTTCGGTTGTGACCTTCATCAATACTTACTACCTCAGAACAAGAAATTTCCAGAAGTTTCAGGAGTAAACCAGCACTAAAGCTTTGGGAGGAAATTACTGACCTGCTACTGACTGTAATGTAGAATTTAACAGACAACAGCTAGATCTCTTGTTTTCCTTCCAGCCCATAATTTCTAAGTGTATTTGGTTGTTACAGGAACTCATTACACAGCTCAGACTCCTGGTGATCCTGTTTTTCAGCCTCCCCAGTGCTGGAATTACAGGTGTGTGCCACTACACCCGGACTCTGTGGACTCTGTAGTCGGCTCAGCTCCCCCTGGGGGTGGGACTGGTGCAGCCTGTGGTGTCAGGGTTCGAACCTCAGTGCCTACGCTTCCCTAAGCTTGCCTAAGCAGGCACTTTAGTCCACTGAGCTATCTTGCCGGCCCCTCCATCCTATTTTTATAGTCTGTGACCTGTGTTACTGGATTTTAGTCACAAAATGTGTCTTAGGTGCTTCATAGTACAGAAAGCATATGCGGGACGGTCGTGAGGTTTTAAATTTGGGGGTCATGAATTTTATGGTACCAGATCATGGCTTGATATCTTCGTAAGTGAAGTCTCAAAAAGCAAACACGAAAAGAGGAAGAGAAAGTGATTCCTGTTCCTTATTGATTAGTGTAGCTAGCTCCACACATTAACCAAAATTGAAGACTGCAGAATGAGGACCCCATCAGTACAGTTTTCATTTGAAGGAATAGAGGTGCTCTGAATGTTAAGCTCCAGAGGAGCCTGAGGAGTGGAGGAGACCAGACTCTTTCCTTTGTGGCATCGGGCTGGGAAATCTTTCACTTCTATGTCCTGTGTCCAACTGAAATGGTTTGACAAGTGCATCAGCCCACTTTCCCTTGCAGGGACACCATCCGATGCCCACAACTCCAAGGAGGAGAGCTTTAATTAGGCTCATGCTCGAGAGAATCAGTTCAGCTGGCTGCAAGGCAGAAACATACTGACAAGAGGGTGCTGGGGATCAAAGGCCACTCTCGGTGGCAGCCGGAAGCGCAGTAGAGCAGTGCCTAGGCGAGGGGGAGGGGCCACGTTTGCCAGGGGCTGGTTAATCCTAACCCAGTCAACCACCACGGGAAGTTTTGCATTTGAAATTCGTAAAAGAAGCGCATGCTGCATCCTGAAGGAATCAAAGAGGGGAAGGCCTTGTACTGCAGGGACGTGAGGCACAGCTGCCGCTGAGTGGGCTAGGAACACAGTAACCAGGAGCTTGGACAAATCTGTTTGTGTGTTTTGTAGATATGGGGCTGGCCTGTGGCATAGGATTGGGATTGGGTGCTGGGTTTAGGCTTGTGGAGAAGAGCAGCAAACCATCATGTTGGAGCTCACAGCTGTGACACAGCAGCATGGGTGGGCACAGCCGTTCTGCTCCTAAGGTAGAACTAACTGGCCAAGTTTGGGGAGAGCTGGAGCCAGAGAGCAGAAGGGCAGGCAGCGTTCATGGAGCAGTCCCTGCTTTCTGTCAGGTTTTATAGGCAGCAGTGGCACGGCAGAGAAACAGAAATGAGGAGGGGAAGCCTTTATGAACACTGATGATGCAGAGAGGCTTGAGGGCAGAGAGATAGGCAGGTCCTCTGACCAGAGACAGAGAGCGTGAGACTTTATGAACTCTTGCTAGGGGTGGAGTTTGAGGGGCAGGTTCAGTGACACACAAGGAGCTGACTGGAGGCTCCCTTGTGTGGGAAGGAAAAGTAAAAAGAAGTTGTATCCAGGACTGGAGTGGAGAAGGAGGAGGAAGTGGTCACTGGGGAGATAAGCTGTTGATTTGGGGATTAGCCATGTTGAATCAGGGCCATAATAATGTAGCAGGCTGTACTCGGGCTATAACCTATCATTCTTGTCTGATAGTTGTTATGAAGGGGTGACAAATCTCTTAGACTGCTTCCTGCTGAATGGCGGCATCATCTGGGGGCCAGGGAGGTTGACAGGACGATGGTTCATACCCATATAGAAGCTAGTGCCAGGTGTTGCAGCCAGGATGAGAAGTATTTCATTAGTGAAGGCTCACATCTGAGATTGAAGAAATCTTGTGTGGCACCTGAAAGTTGTCTGGGCAAGTGGTCCAGAGTCTGGTGGCAAACAAAAGGACTAGCGGAAGGTAAGAGATCAAAAACCAGATGGAAAAGCAACACATTACCCTGGGGTTGTGAACTCTTAGTTAGAGGAACACGTGTAGGTGATAGGAGTTGTGAATGCTATTCAAGCAACAAGGGCTCAGGATCAGGAAGAGCAGAGTTGTCAGGTGGAGTTGAGTTGTCTGAGCACCACTTGGCTTGGGTGATGTAGAACCAACAGGGCAGATGGGTGACTTTTACGACTGTTGCTGTTGAGAGGACATCTAGATGGGAGGGCCTGTCCATGTAGCATCTAATCCTGTAGACTTGGAAGATTTAAGGTATATTAAATCTCCAGGAAACATAGATGGCAAAAATTGAGTGGTATCTATTGGTTGTGGGAGGCAGGTGTCCACATGTTGTTGCAGCAGGTACTGGAGGAATGATCTAACAGAAATATAGT